GCTTTGTCAACTATATGGAATACAATAATTAATTTTCTTTTAAATTAAAATGTTTATTTAATTTCATTTTATTATTACTGTATTATTATTAGTAGTAGTAGTAGTATTGTTTTGTTTTAGTTAACTACAATAACCCTGCTGTCTATATATACACACTTTTAATTTGCTTTAATGCTTTTGTAAGTAAATAAAAAGCCTCTTAATGGAAAATAGAATTATGGCTAGGATAAATGTCAGTCCTTTTATTATTTCATTCTTTTTTCATCTAAAATAACTAGTGGTGATGATTTTATGATAAGTGAAATAATCTTAACCATATTAATGGTGCTCTCGATTGCAGCTGATCATCATAATGAAGTACTCATTACTGGATTATTGAAAAAATTGCCAGTTGATCTGGTCTGCCAGATTTGTCTGCCTTTGTTCAACTGAACCAAAACACTAATATCTGAATTGAATGCTATTCTGTTTGGTTATTTTGTTTTTGTAGTGTTTGTGATTTTGTTTTGCTAATGAGATCATATTTATACATGATCATCCATATCACGCCTTACTGAGGTTTCCCACGTCTCCGCTAGAGAAAGCTGAGGTCAAATCTTGGGAATAGTCTGCGATATGCCAAGTTATTTCTATTCAGTTGCTCTTCCAGTCAACTGAAGATCCCTTTGAAGCTCAGAAATCTGGCATCAAAAGTAAGAGGATGGTACGACTCTATTAAAATGCAATTTAACATGCTTTACCTCATACGGAGGTTGGAGAATCCAATCTGGTGGGACACAGACACACACACACACACACACATCCACAAACGGTCACGTTCCTTTACTGTCTGTGCAATATAAAGGAAGAACAGTCATTGTAAGCCCTTTATTGGCTTTGAGTTGCATTCTGGCCGTCCATATCAGAAATATGGCTCACAAAGATACACGCTATCGTTCCAAGACACAAGTCGTAAATGCAGTGATAGAATCATTCCTCACTCTGACTGTCATTGTCATATGGAGGGTCACGGTGCCATTGTAAACAGTTCTCTTATTAACTTTCATATGGTTCCTTTGGTGACTGTTACAGTTTGTCAGAGCTTGTGTGCTGAGGTTTTGCTGGAAACCGCTGTTAAAGAGCTGTGTGGAGGCTCTAAATAGTGCGCAGAGCCTTTAATGCTTTTCTTTTTTCAGGACGACTTTATGTTTTCCATATTTAGAACAGTGAGCAAAACACATTTAACATTCTAGGCTGCAGATAATTAAACGCACCGCTCTCTGCCTGAAGATTTAGCATTTAGATGAAGTTTTTAGCATTTTATTTTTGTCCTGCATTATGCAAGTAATGCATTTTTTATAACGTCTTATAAAGTGCAGAAATTCAGCAATTATAATTTCTCTAAGAAATATAATTTAAAATAATCTGTCAGTCCTTTAAAATATTTAACCACAGTTAATTTTTGTAATTATTGTGTTAAAGTATTGTAAGGGAAACAGGTCAATAATTTAGCTCAAAGGGAATCATTTAAGATTTTAAAGGGAACTCCACCACAGTTCCTTTTTAAAGGAAAAAAAGTAAATATAACTATTAGGTTAAAATTTTATATTTATCAGTGTGAATCTACAATAATTAAATAATAAGTCAACTTTCCCTGCTGTTGTCTGTTCAAAAGTTTGGGGTTGGTATGGTTTTTTAATTCTTTTGAAAGAAGTTTCTCACCAAGGCTGCATTTATTTGATCAAAAATACAGAATTTTTTTTTTTGTGATACATTGTTACGATTTAAAATAATTGTTTTCTGGGCAGGGGTCGCAAATTCTTCAGGGCAGGCATTCTTCAGATTTTGGTAGCCCAAAAATTAATTTAACTAGCCCGAATAAAAGATATTGTATTTTTTCGTCAAATAACAAGTCAATAGAGTAGGGGTGCAACGGATCACAAATATCAGGGTTCGGATTATATTACATTATCATATCAGATTTTGAGTCAAAGATCGGATCATTTTTCAGATGAGCAAAAAAAGATATGGTTCTTTATTATTTAAGTAATACTTATTATTTAAAGAACAATTTACTACTTCGATACCACAGCAAAATCTAGTAGCATATAGGGATGTAACGATTCACTCAACTCACGATGTGATATGATTCACGATACTGATTTCACAATACAATTTTCTCACAATTTTTTTTTTTAACAAAATGAGATTTAAGACAGATATTAAAAAAGGTGTCCTTTTGTTATTTCTCAGACCAAAAGGCTGCACATTACTTTGTGAAATTGAAAATGTCAAACAATATACTAACTTATATATATTAATCCCAAATGAAATAAATAAATAATGCAAATAAAAGAAATGTCTTCATGCAAGTAAACTAAGGTTTTGCCTGTGTATTTTAATCATGATCCAAACAAAGATGCTGCATGCATGTTATTTAGATTGTAAAACAAAATGGTCTGACTTTAGCTTTGTGATACTACATAAAAAATCTGAACAAAACAAAAACAGCAGACGGGCTGAATGGAGACGCAAAAGTCACTCTCTGACAGCAGGTGGCGCTTAAACAGCAGGTATTTATAGGCTGCTGACCCTTTAAGACCGAATGCACTGCTCCAATATAATGATGCACGTGCAATTTCTTTACGTTCATTTAAGACATGAAAATACTTGAAGAGATAGTTATTTTGATATAATAATGTATGTGTCCGTTCAAGCGAAAAAGGAATCAATTCTGTGTTCGTGCTCTGCCTGAAACGCCGCTCTGTATGTGCGCGCGAGGCGCCAGCAGCGAACTGAATTCTTAATGCACATGAATGGTTTAAAATGCTTGAATATTTAAATTGGTAAGACTTAGAAACATATGTAAATTATAAACTATGATCCGTTTCACCCCTACAAGCGAGTGAACAACGCGAATTAAGGATAAGGATACATTTTTATATCACTATTCAAGATAGCCCGTCGGGCAGAGCAGTGATACATTTTGGTAGCCTGACTGGAAAACACAATAGCCCCGGGACGTCGGGCTAGCGATTTAATTTAGCGAGTGTAATTTATTCATGTGATGGCAAAGCTGAATTCTTTTTTCAGTATTTTTGATTATGAAGTTCAAAAAACAGCATTTTATTTATTTTTATTTAAGGGCTTATTTTTCTAAGATTATTGCATTGTGTTGTTCGCCCTGTGTGTGACAAACTGGAGAAAATGGTTAACTTGACCTATATATATATATAAAGGAAAAGAAAACAATCAGAAAAGTATGTGGCTCTCTGTCACATATAAAGAGTATGTACACTTAGATTGATGTTAAATGAATTATTTATAGCCAAGTGTCTCTGGAGGAACATGTCTTTAGTGACTAAAACAGGATAAAACCGTGGTACTGCCTGGCTTTGTTGGTACCAGCTCAGGCGGTGACGGCAACCTTTGTTGGGTTGTCTCAGCTTTGAAATGCAAAACCAAACCTCTTGACAGAGTACACGTGTCAAAATAACATCTGCATTCAATAGCAGAACGTAACGTTTCAAACGACACTGGTATTTTTCTGATCATACCATCAGTGCCACCTATTATTACATTTACTGAGAACATCACTTTTGAGCGCCTAATGATAATGCTAATTGTTTAAGGCAGTGTGCTCATACACTGTTTTGTTTTGTAAGGTTTCACAAAAGGGGATATCGTGCATACACCGCCTGAAGGCATTCATTGAATTAATTTTCAACAGAAGCATTTCTGCTACAGTTCGTTGTGGATCTTCATTTACAGTGGAGGGAATTAGTTAATGGCCTCTAAAGGACTTTATTCTACCGTCACGGCAGTCAAGTCAAACATATTTTGCCGGCCATCATCGAGGCAAAAGTGCAGGGTGCTCTCCAGAGATTTGAGACATTATACTGAACTGACCTTTAACTTAACTGACCTTTATGTTGCAGGACAGTTTTTATAATATGAGCCATGGTTTTGTGAGGAAAGGCTTGTAAAGGTATTGGAGAGATTCATGGTTCTGTACTCAAAATAGTATGTGTGAATCCTCGGGGTGCCTGTGCCAAAAACAACAGCTCAACAATCTTGATTCCTCTAAGATCCCTGCAACAAACTGGATTTCACTTCATGTGAATATACATATTAATGTCTTCTTCAAGGTTCTTTTTAATAAATAGGAAGAAAAGGGCTGTCTACACTACTGTTAAAAGATTTTGGCTCAGTAATATTTTTTTTCCAGAAATCATTCTAATATTTTTCTTAATATTCTTATTCTTATTATCATTGTTGAAAAAACTGTTGATGCATTTTTATAGGATTCTCTGATGAATATAAAGTTCAAAGCATTTATTTAAAAACAGAATATTTCGTGACATTAGAAATGTGTTTACAGTTACCTTTGATCAATTTACTCACTGAATAAAAGTATTAATTTCATAAAATAAATAAATGGTGACCCCAGACTGACTGATAGTGTACTGTATATAAATCAATAATTTATTCCAATATTTTAATTATTCCAATAATTGATTATGTCCTCAACATTGTTCTAACACCCCCAAAAAAACATTAGACTGTTTATTTGCAAACACATATTCTCTGTGAGTAAATGTTTAACACTCCTTTTGAAAAGTAGGCCATAATTTGCTCTCCTGAAGGGAGGATGTCGACACCCTATACTGCTATTCCCCGTAGGGTAACTAAATAAGGTATTTGTAACAACTTTAGTTTTGCTGAGTTGTAGACTTTGAGATCTGCAAGGCCCTCATAAAGGCCTGAATTGTGGCTTACTCTGCAGTCTATTTAAATTGTGTTCAAACTGCAAAAGCAATCAATAAATCAACCTTGTGAAATGTGTCTAGTTTGCAATTTTTCAGCCCCAAATAGAAATAGTACCCAAGAAATATTTCATAGATTTTTTCTGTAATATTTATTAGAGGTTTTCTAAACCAAGTCCAAATCAAATCAAGCACAAACCAACACAGAAACATATGTATCTTTTGTATCTTATATGTATTTCATATGTATCTTTTATGAAGAGAGGTAACTGATTGAGAATTATCTATGATTTAATAGAAAGTGTGCTTAATCATACCTAGTGTGTTTGCTGTGCACTGAGTTATTAATGTTACATTTATTGAATGTTACGTTTATGCTCTGTGGAAAAGACCATTGATTTCTTAATTATGGCAGTCTATATTCATGATAAAGAGTATCATGTGTCATTATCGACAAGGGTCATTTACAATTGAAACACATACATATATATATATATATATTTTTTAATGAGATATTAACAACTTATTTTTTACAGTTCCTCCAAAGATCGTGAACCTGTCAAAGGACCTTGTGGTGAATGAAGGTTCCAACGTGACTTTAATGTGCCTGGCTAATGGAAAACCAGAACCTGCCATCGGCTGGAGGATGTTATCACCTTCAGGTAAGATGCATATCATGCTTTTATGTGCAGAAAATATTTAACATAATCAGTGAAAAGTAAGCAAATATTTAGTCAAAAGCTTTTGCCTTCAAAATGAAACCGCAATCCTCAATATCGGTCCAGTACTGCTGATGTATTTTCCCAGTACAAAGAACGGTGCACTTTTTTCCTTGATGATTTAGCAAAATACTGCATCCCAATGACATATTAAGCACAGGTAAGATAATATATCAGGCGTCTTTTTCACTGAGAGCTCTGTGTGTGTGTGTGTGTGGATGTGTGTGTTTTTTTTATATGCACCATACAAGCTGAGTGGTCCGTTTTGCTTATCTTCAGGCCACATGAACAAATCAGCTCAATTTGGGCCTATCTGCAGCTCTGTTCTGCCGTGCACCATTTCACTTAATCAGGGAAAATACTGCATTTTAATGTGCTATGATTCATGGGGTGCAATTGGACTGCTGTACCTGCTCATGCTCCCTGCACACCCCTCCCCATTTTCTTCCTTTGTGTTGTTACAGGATCAGGTAATTGAAATGTTAATGTGACATAGAAGTGACTGCTCTATTTTTAAAGTTTTTTTTAAGTGAAAGAGTTTGAAATGGGATTCCATTATGATACAGTACAGTTGTCTGCTAAGAACATCAAATGCTTTTAGGAATAAAAGATAAACTGTTAGAGCAGATTCAGTCAAGTCAGAGTCTTGTTGGACCACAGGATCAACTTGTTTTTTCCCACATCATTTGTCAGGTGGACACTGTTAATATACTTCCATTGTCAACAGATTTCAATCTTAAAAGGATAGTTCAGTTTAAAAGGTAAAGAAATAAATGTAAAGAAGTTATTTTGAGAAATTTCTCAGTTTATTTTTTGGTTCATACAGTAAATGTCAAAGTTGTTTTAGACCCCACTGACTTTCACTGAATGGCCAAACCCTATTGAACCATTCTTCAGAATATTGTCTTTTGTGCTCCATGGAAGAAAGTAAGCCTTGTGGGTTTAGAACTAGTCGATGGAAGTTTTTTGCAATTTTACTTCCTTAAGGCCCAGATATACTCACTGAGGAGATCTTCGCTTAGGAGTAAAAACAAGTTGTTTAAAAAATAAGTTTAATATACACAAGCAGTGGAATACTGTTAGTGAACGTCCCAATGAAAATGAACATGCAACAAAAATGAGAGCGGTGAGAAAACAAGATTTGAGAAAAATCTGATCATAACGATAAAATCCAGAAATTTCACTTTGGTAAGCTATTTCAAACTCCAGAAAAAAACTCTAAATTAGCTTTGATTTGGCCTGATTTTGTTTGAAATTAAATCACACTAGTTCATTCTTTGATTTCATTTAAAGAATATCAGGGCCTTTGATAGGAAATATATATATATATATATATACGTATATATAAAAACATTTAACAAGGAAAAATTATCTGGACTTGATTTTATTCATAATGATTTGATTGGAACTTGAAAAATGAACATACAAATGAACATGGGCTCATTTTGATTTTAAAACTAAACAAAAAAGCAGACTTGGCTCAAATTAGTCTCTGAGATGGTGGGGTATGTTGGCATTAGTAACATTACACCACTCGTAAACACCATGGTTTTGTGCTGTTTGATCAGTTTAACACTTTATTGGCTCTCAGATCTGATTTGGTTTTGTAAAAGCATTGCCAAAGAGCTGGCAACCAGGAATCTTGATGGGGCTGGAATCAGTCGGAAGCTATCCAAACGACGTGTGAAACATAATTAAGACACAGACCCCCTTGCGATAAGATCTTAATATCTCGATAGCACCAGGATTTGTAGTCTTGTAGAGATTTGTCTCTTTTAAAAATTTGTATTGTACGGTTGATGTGAAACGCACCTGCTCCCTTGAGCATTCACCGTACTACAGTCATTTAGATTTACCGCAGCGTTTCCACATTGTTTCAGTAAAGAGCTGAAATAAGTCTGCCAGTCACACTTAGTTCTGTAAGTACACATCTCCGACCTTTAAATGGCACACGCGGACTCTTTCTCTGGACTCTCTATATAAACCAAGAGATTTCACGATGTTGCACCCTATCTCCAGTCTCACATCACTCACTTGTAAGTTTTCTCTAGATTACGATCATACAGAGTCCTTACTTTATCTAGATCCTAATCTAAAGAGGGCAGCTAGGCCTGCTATCATCCATTCTTATTAAGGAAACATGCAACAGCAATGTTATTTGTGCTTTAAGGACTTTCTAGAGTTCACCTTCATGTGTAGAACGCTGTAGTGAACACTAACAGCAACAAATCATGATTTTGTCATAGAGAAAAGGTTGATGGATCATTTAATGTAGTCTAGATGGAATATGTGGCAAAATGCATGTACATAAACAGCGCGGAAATGTGATTTTAAGGCCATTTATGATGCAAAATTGCCGTAACTTTGCAGAAAATGCAAAATGAGAGTGTTGAACTTTGATGCGTTTACAGATTAGCCAAAATATGTAGTAAATGAACTCACTTGGGGTCAGTGGATGTGTAGATCTTTGTTATTGAGAGACATTCCAATTCTGTGAAAATGTGCAGTTCTGCAGGCACAAATTCTGAGATTCTGTGTGGCTCTGGCTATTAGCAATCTGAATTATTGATCAAGCCCAAAGTCTACAACAATCAAAAACTGAAACTTAGTACAGGACCCGTTGTCCTGAATATTATAGTGAGCTCTTTTATTTAGCTAGAACAGTATGTGCTTTTTACAGAAACCTTTGCATAACCTTACACTTCAGAACATCAGTTATTTATGTTGTGTTTCTAGAAATTCAGATTTGCAAACTGTAAATATACATTTCCAATGATGCAGTAATACTTTTCTTTAGTGTTTTTGTCTTGTTTTTCCAGTAAAATATTTAAACATCCGTAACATAAGAGAAATTTACTTGAGAGGCAAAATTTCACAATATATTAAAATTTGAATTGTTTTATTTTCTTACCATATACATTTTCCTGTTACATACATTTACATACATTTAATTATAGTGATGTTTATGCTTAAAAAATGCCAATGATGTATGAACAATAAACTTAATTTAAGATGTATTCTCTGATCTTACACTATTTTGCTTCTCGAGTAAATTGATCTTACTTTAAAGATAATTGCAATTTACTGAAAAAAACAAAACAATAATACTGATTAAGAAAATATCTTATTTGCATTGTACCAGTGGCCTTTCTCAAACTACTTCACACCCTTCAGTATATGTGGAGGATATGGATAACAGCCAATGTTCTGCCATCCACACACAAATAAACAGTTCATGTATGCTTAAAATAAACTATAAAGATGAGATATTAATGTTATTATCCCCTGAGGCTGTTTAATAGACATATTACACACATGAATTAATCATTTGCAGGCTCTGCGTGGTCTTTCTTTCATGTGATCAGAGAAAAACCCTTTGGTGGGAAGGCTTGTTTACTTATTTTTTCAATCCTCAAAAAGGGATATTCACCCATTCTCATATTTCTCTCTCTTTGTAAAATCCAGTGGGCTAAAGATCAGAGCAAACGGCATGTGAGTTGCATTGTGGGTATGGCAAGAGTAAAGGTGTTGTTATTGTGTTACTGTGTTGTTTTGGGTGAGGAATAGGGTCAATAATGTTGCTAATTTATCATTGCTGCTGTTTAATCGACTTGAATAAACATTGTTTTTAATGAGCGTCTGTGTCCCAGGAGCGAACACTCCTATTAGATCAGTGTCGAATTAGGGTTTTGGCTCAGTGAAGAGCACATTGTGTGGAGCACATTCCTTGAGGTTTTTATTGAGCTGTGATTGCATTAATCCTGTTTATAACCATCTATGTAATGAGGCTGCTGTGTGTTTGGGTTTGGCAGCTCATTTCAGGAACCAAATGATCCTCTTAGCGCTAGCGCTAACTGCTAATACAGTTCTACTCTGCCGAGCTCGCTCACTATTTTTCTCACTATTTCTCTCTCCCTCCCCTCCTCGGTTCTGTGCTGACTCTAGTTATTTTTGAGAGGATTTTTAAATTTTTTTTGGGATGACAGAAACACAGAGTGAAATGAATGCATTTGGAGTAGGGTTATAGATTGATATTACTCTGGTCGGGTCTGGTTATGGTGTTTCTCTCTCCTGAGCAATGGCCTCAGGGATTTAGAAGGATGTGGATCTGTGAACTACTTTGTGGAACTGCAGACTACCCCATGCTAATGTACTCTGCTGTGTGTTTATCTTTTCAGTTGTATTCAAGCTTGTAGGGATATTCACCCATTCTCATATTTCTCTCTCTTTGTAAAATCCAGTGGGCTAAAGATCAGAGCAAACGGCATGTGAGTTGCATTGTGGGTATGGCAAGAGTAAAGGTGTTGTTATTGTGTTACTGTGTTGTTTTGGGTGAGGAATAGGGTCAATAATGTTGCTAATTTATCATTGCTGCTGTTTAATCGACTTGAATAAACATTGTTTTTAATGAGCGTCTGTGTCCCAGGAGCGAACACTCCTATTAGATCAGTGTCGAATTAGGGTTTTGGCTCAGTGAAGAGCACATTGTGTGGAGCACATTCCTTGAGGTTTTTATTGAGCTGTGATTGCATTAATCCTGTTTATAACCATCTATGTAATGAGGCTGCTGTGTGTTTGGGTTTGGCAGCTCATTTCAGGAACCAAATGATCCTCTTAGCGCTAGCGCTAACTGCTAATACAGTTCTACTCTGCCGAGCTCGCTCACTATTTTTCTCACTATTTCTCTCTCCCTCCCCTCCTCGGTTCTGTGCTGACTCTAGTTATTTTTGAGAGGATTTTTAAATTTTTTTTGGGATGACAGAAACACAGAGTGAAATGAATGCATTTGGAGTAGGGTTATAGATTGATATTACTCTGGTCGGGTCTGGTTATGGTGTTTCTCTCTCCTGAGCAATGGCCTCAGGGATTTAGAAGGATGTGGATCTGTGAACTACTTTGTGGAACTGCAGACTACCCCATGCTAATGTACTCTGCTGTGTGTTTATCTTTTCAGTTGTATTCAAGCTTGTATTGTCTGTCACTCAAATCAAATACAGCCCGCTATTCCAGCTAGTCTTAATTCAAGAGCCAAATTTTCCAAAACACCCAATTTTGCACATGCATTTAAGCCGGAGAGAATAACAACAACCTAATTAAGATATTTCAGCACATTTAGACGGTGATTAAACTGGATTGTGGGCGTTTTTTGCACTGATATACTACATACAAATGTAGCGCAAACACATTTGCACTCGCTCACACAAACAAAAGCATATTTCAGCATTAGTTACAGATGTGGCTTTCATTTCACATTTTTAAGTCAAACAAAGACTCAAGGACTGAAGATATTTGATGGCTGGAATCAAAGCAAGCCCGTCAAACTGCATTATCTTTGCTGACAAGAATCTCAGCTGAATAAAGCCAATAAATATCTGCAGGGCATATGTGTGACTCACACTATCTGTGTTTGTTTTCCTCAAGTAGATAATGCAATAAAGGTTTTGCACAGTCAAGTCTGTATTTTTATGTCAGTTGATAGACCTTTTGTTTTCTAAATTAATAAACAGGCAATTCTTCTTCAACTGACAATGCAGTACTTACCGATTTGAATATAAATCTCATCATAGCCGTGACTAATCAAACAATCCATTGTATCATGTACCAAAAGTGGGTAATGGGATATCTTCTGACCTCTGCTGTAAGCAGATCTGGTGTTTGGTTCACATTCATAACAGAAGCGGAGGAAATCAGGTGGTGCGATAATGGCGTTCCTGCCCCGCTGCTCTGGAGGGATCAGACAGAGAACCTGTCGCTCGTAAGATGACATATTCAGCTGTGCCTGGATTGATTCAGCACCTTGCCCAACTCTGCTTTCCTTCTCTCTGGGGTTTTGTGTGTGTATGTGTGTACAACAGCTCTGCAGTATTAGTTCCTTGCTCTCTGCTTTACTGCAGTACTTTACACTCATACTGGGCTGAGCTACTTTAGCTAGAGGTCTTGGACAGTCCATTCTAGAAAATAAATTTAAAACATTGTTTCATCATTACAAAATCTGGTCCAGTTTGCATCTTATTCTAGCCAAAACAACACCTTATTAGACAAGAAGAGCCTGTCTGAGTGACATGAAACATAACCAATCACATTTTTTCCCCTGTACATTTTACTTTTTCTGTACATCTATACATTGAAAGTAGAGTCCAGTGCCATTTTGGACCCCATTGACTTTCATTGTATGGACAAAAAACATTTTTGGGTGAACTATTCCTTTAAGTACAGATTGTTTAATAACTTAAAATCTAATTCTAGGCCTGTCTGTGGATATCTGCTTTAAATGCTACTAAGGGCCTCCCTCGGCCAAAACTAACGAAATATTTAGGATAAGATAAGATGGCACTAACATAAAAACTAATCACAATGTGATTAGTTCTATACAAAAGTGTCCATTGTATAAATTTGGATTGCAGCCGGATTGCAAATTGAGATTTAGAGAATCTGTTGTCATTTTTGTGTGCAATATTCATCACCATCTGAGGATGTGACTGTGGAGGGCAGCCTCTTTCATTTCTGTGGGTTTGTTTTCTCCGTTAATAGAGCTGTTTGGCGCTTGTTCTATTTTTTATGACACCCAGTACGATAGTTGTACCATTTCAGCTCAAGAGGCATTTGATTTTAACTTATGATAATATCACAAATCAAACCCTGGCGTACTATTGACTGACACTTATAATGCCAATGGGGGGCCATGAATATACAAAAGCGGTTACGTTATATAAGACATGCATAATGAATGTGCTTCAGTAGTGTATTGACGAAGAAAAAAGCCTGAGATGTCAGTCTTCAAGTGCTTCGCATTGATACAATCCTCCAAGGCAGCCGTGAAACCCAGAGCCCCGATGGAAATAAACGGTCCCATTTTGTCAATCTTCCCTTTGATGGAAGACAGTCCACAATGCACCTGATGCCAAAGCACCACATTTCCTTTCTGCTGGACCAGGTATCAAATGCCAGTGGTTTGCTTTTCATAAAGCTTACCCAGTCCTTTACAACATCAATGACATGCACTTTCAGTGGGAAACATCAAAATGAGCATCTTGAATGAAGAAGAAACTCTCCTTCTGTGACTCACTTTGCAAAGATGTTCTAGTGCCATTCAAAGGTTTGGATTTAATTGGCTCGTTTTGAAGGGGTAGTTGATTGTTTGAATTTAAAATCTTTCAATCTTTTTAAACAATGCAACAATAAAATTATACAAGAGCCTTTTTGAGTAGACTTCAAGCTGCTTTTCAGTGCAGCGAGGTGTGTATGGTGTTGAACGGTAATGAGCTTCTTTCTCCAGAGCGCTCTGTTGACACTCCTCATCAGGTTAAAGGAAGTGCCTCTTTCTTTCTCGTTAACAGCCTCTCCCAGGTGTAAGACATTGTCTTTCAGAGAATCCTTAAGTGAATGCAGTGTGTTATTTTGCTGTCAGAAACTACATTGGGGATGATATTTAGTTAAGTCAACCGCGTATTACCGTTTGACGTTGAGAACTGCATCACAGGGAACCCTTTCCACCAACATTTTTTTCCCCAGTCTGGATTTCATGAACATGAAAAGGGACCGTATGTTTTAGCAGTTTGACTCCAGTGTGTATGCGAACACTTCAAAGCAGCTGCGCAGAGACTGAGACTCATATTTGAATTGAATTTCATATCTCTAGTGTCGCCTTCTCCCACAATAGGACACAAATGACTATAAATATATTTTTCAAGTGAGTGACAGTGATGTGGCCAAGTATGGTTACCCATACTAGGAATTAGTGCTCTGCGTTTAACCCATCCTAAGTGCACACACACAGCAGTGAACACACACACACCGTGAACACGCACCCGGAGCAGTGAAACCCAGTGCTTCAGTAGTGTATTGACGAAGAAAAAAGCCTGAGATGAAAAAAGCCAGATATCAGACCATCAGTATTTCAGGGAAGAAGAAGTTTGAATATTTGCAAAGAAGGGCAACAACATGCTCTACAGTGTGGCTTATTGTACCCAAGCAAAGCACGTATGTGACGATACTGGAAAATCAGACACATTTCAGCTCTTCAGTGATAATGGGACACATGCATCATGATGTGATTTACCCAAGTAACACTTTGTTGTTCCAGGATCAAGACTCCTACCAACCAATCAACTCATTTGTTTTTGTTGTAGTTGTCTTTTAAGGAATCATAGACAACCCTTTTCTCTTTTGAGAGCTTTAATACAGATTATGACAGTCATATTGTAATGTTTCTTGTTCAGATGACAGCCTAAGCTCAGACAGCGAGGTTCTGGAGATTCCCTTCATCAGCAGATATAGAGCAGGAGTGTACGAATGCACCGCAGCCAACGAAATTGCAGTGGACACACAGACTGTTGAGCTCACAGTCAACTGTAAGTCTCTTGTGAATTTAAATCAACATGTGCTACACATATATATGCAACATACAGTTGGGACGAAAGACTATTAAATATTTATTTATTTATAAAAAAATATTTGGATTAAACATACAGATGATTTATTTAAAAATGAATAAATAAAATATATAATTGAATTTTTAATTAAATGTTTTGAAATGCAAAATAAAACCATCATCACTAAATATCAATACTTATGAACCCCACTTTATGTGTAAATCGTTTGTTTGTTTAAACCTATAAACTAAAATATAAAATTATAACAAAGATCTTTTTTGTGGTTTTCTGTGTTTAGACCCTCCCAGTGTTTCAGATGGCAGAGATGTTGGCGTGACCCTGGGTCAGAGAGGTGTCCTGCAGTGTGAAGCAGATGCTGTACCAGAGGCAGATTTTGAGTGGTACAGAGATGACAGGAGGTATGGCATACTATTATGAAGCGATATTCTGCCTCACCTGTTCCTTTCTTTGGGATAAAACCGTAGCCTTAATGTACGGTTAGTGTACACAATTTCTCAATTTCTTTTTTTTGACTAGATGTGTACAGTAGCAGCTAGTTATTAACAAGAGTTTTCTGTATTCCCTGTATATCTGTCGGATTTATAATATTGGATGTGACATTGTGAAGTGAAGGACAAATATTTTTCAGTAGCTGTATACATCTGACTAGATGTGCTGTCATTCGTTCACTGTTTTTAACAGCTAAATACTTGAGTGCCTTTGGCTGGAATGTGTCTCAGTACATTCTCTCAAACTGTCTTTGATGTCAAGTGAAGAATAAGTTGTCACAATGTTGTACCATAATTAATGTGCATAAGTGTATGTGCGTGTCCCTCTGCATGCCACTGCCAGTAATTCAATCCTGAATTGAATTGTTTTGCCTCCTTTTATTGTATCCAAGCCCACTGCAATCTGTGTCCGAAAATGATGATGCTGTCATAAATGTAACCTCTAGCTTCAAAGGAAGCTCTGATGTACCGTAAACAAGGCCGGGCTGATTCAAGTCTCCCCATTTGCTGACTGTTTACCAGGATCTTCAGTGACTTCGATGGCATTGAGATCGAGGATGCTGGAGCATTTTCAAAGCTGACTTTCTTCAACGTATCCGAGGCAGACTATGGCAATTACACCTGCGTCGCTATCAACAAACTGGGGAGCGCTAACACAAGCATCATCCTATACGGTAAGTTTCAGTGGTTGCTGGTTTCAGTCAAGTCTGTTTGGAGCCTCTTCACAATTCTTCGACTAGGTGAAGTAGTTAGAATTTTTTTTCCTTAA